AGCTCAGGGAACATTTCAAACATCAACAAACTGATGTTCTCACGATTTGACATCAGCATCTGAAAAACGGTCGCTAGATAATAAATGCAAACATAAAGCTGGAAACAGAAAGTGCACCTGTGATCATGCAGGTGAATGCTGATGTCAGTAATCTGCATTTGCATCCTCATTACCTGTGCAGGTTCTACCAGTAGGTGGTAGCTTTTGGATTTCAGAAGCAGTGAAATAGATGAAAAATAAGCCTTTTAATTTGAGTTTTTCCTCAGATACTGAATGTTTTCTGCTTGTTTCTCTTCAGCTGTAGAAACCCGTTTCACCAGCTCAGCTGTTTTGGGTCATTTTGGGGGTCTTCCCCCCACTGCGTTTAGGACTGTGAAGTGGATAGCTCTACAGTGTGATGGTGTCTTTGCTGCTCCAAAGAAGACATACAGCTTCTGGGCAGCTGTCCCCTGCAGGTTCTGGGTAGCTTGTTGCTCTGCCTTCTCACCCCACACTGACAGGCTCTACTTTCCTCAGATATAAATAGATAACGATGCTAACAGATGCACCAGCCCCTGTCTATCTATCTGTGCGCACACACGCACACACACACACATGCACACGCACACTGTTACCCACCTATGTAATATAAAAGAGATTAGGCAAGGCTATGAGCTGCACATTCTGAAAATATGATCACAGGCTGTAGGTTAACAATGAAGATTTCTGAGCTCACAAGAGATTAAAGAAATCAATTATGAAGTTTAAAGAGAGCAACCGATAAGCAGGTCATGGCACATTCAGGGCGCCGCAAAAATAGTCAACTATATACAGAAGCGGGGCTTGGCTCTGCAAACTGCAACCACAGATTTGGGCTTAAAATTCTAATGCCAGGAAAGCAAAAGTGACAGAGAGAAGACAGAAGGGGCAATGAAGCTGATGCTGGGGGACCATGAATCAGTTTTAGGCACATGGAGTATAAATTGATTGGTTCTCCCACATTAAAAAATTATCTCATTTCCTTTCCCCACTGGTCTCATAACTCCCAAACTCCTCTCCAGCACAAGTTAATGGGAAAGTAAGTAGGACTCACCGTTCGCAGGAACTGAATCTCCTCTTCTCCCTCTCCCCCTTCTGCCATCTTTCACCGAGGGTTATTCGCAGCTCCTCGGGAGAAAAGAGAAAATCCTTCAGTTTTCTCCCCTCAGGCTTTTATTTTCTTTCTTTTTTTTTAATTTTATCTCCTTTGCTGCGTCCCTCCCTCCTTCTCCTTCTCCTTCCTCGTCGCTGTGCCCGTCTTCCTCTCTCTCACACTCTGTCTCAGTGTCTCTCAGTGTTAGTGTGTGTGGGTGTGCTGGAGGACAGCATGAGTCCTGCGCTCTCACGGTGTCGGTGAGAGAGAGTGACAGGAGGTAAGGCTGTCCCCGGCTCCTCTCGCCTCGCCTCCCCCAGCCGCAGATGAGGGAGGGAGGGAGGGAGGGAGGGATGGTGAGGGAGGGGCAGGCACCTTGTTACACATTTACACCGCTCCCATCCCATCCCACCGTGCCGCCATGTTTGTAGAAGTGGGCCACTCCTTCACACGAGCTCCATCACCCTCCCCTCCTCCTCCTCCTCCTCCTCCTCCTTCCCACATGTCTGAGGCTATAAAAGGAAAGAGGGGTGAGGACCAGCCTTTGGGGAGCGTGCAGTACGAACACATGCACTCGCCACAAACTCCTCAAAGTGAGTAAGTCAAACTGCAAGAAAACCCCCCTTCAGAATGCATCAACACTGCATCAGCTGCTCGGCACTCAGAGTGAAACTTAGATGTCAGGCAGGCAGATGAAGTTCAACGTCAGGATGTGTTTAGTAGAAACTCACAGCTGGATCTGTAGGAGTCTAAATGCCAAACTTGCCATAGGACTGGTTGTTGCTTTTACCACTGATCAATCTATGGATTAAAATAAACTAATCTTAAAGAATCCTGAGAATATGGCTCCAAATAAATCATTATTTCTGAGTAGAATGCCAAAAATGTGAGCAAATCTGCTTAATCAGACCCATTAAAAACACTTGAAACCATGACAACACACAAATACAGGACTCTTTAACTTGGTCAGGTGATAATGTTGGGAAGCTTCTGGTTTAAAAAAGCAGCAAATGGGGACTTGACCTGATTTAAAGTCAGAAAACAAGATAAAAGCCTAATATCTCATGTTTCGAATACCAAGTCTTGCTGATTTCGTCTCTGCAACAGTTTAAAAACCCAAAAGGAACCATTTTACAACAAAAACCTGAAAAAAAATTCACATTAAAAGCATGAACCGGTGCATGTTTGGCTTTTTTATTTGGTGTAATGACTAGTAAAGGTTAATTTCAGCCTAGTTTCTCCTTTTATGTGTTTCATCACTCCAGCTGCAAAAGACAGAATTCCCAACTTTCCCCAAACGATCAAGTAATCTGTTGGATCAAAGCGAGGCTCAACCTAAATCTTGGCACAGTGGGAGCGGTGGAAACCACAGATGCTTTCCTTACAGTCCAATCAACAACAGACATTTGCACAGACATTATGTCAGGCCTCTAATTAGCTCTGTGCACTTTCACACTTTGCCATAAAGCACCAGCATTTTACGCTTCGGTGTTAAAGCGACAACTCAAATCAGTGATTAATTACTGACAGATTATTTTATTAACATCCCAGCCGTTGAACTGTTGCAATGCCGGCCTCCTGACATTTCCTGTGCTGCCTTAAGAGGATGACTGGATGTGAATCCAACAGGTCAAGTGGAGACATTGCATCACAAAGAAGATCATCGTATTGATTACAGTTATTTTTAATGATAAATTTGACTCCTACTAATGGATTTGTGCATATGAATGGATCATTTATCATGCACAAAATGCAATACAATGCTGTTATGTGTCATTGTAAGCCTTTGGAAATGGGAGGATTTTACTATTTCAACCCTGCAGCTTTGTTCAAATCATCTCATTCAGTCTCTTTTCTCTTTAAGCCCCTAAAAAAAAGCACCTCCAACAGACAAAGACCAGTTATCTATGTTATGGATAAACAATGCACCAGAGAATATTTTTTTGCAGACCACAAACTTGCCTAATGTCACGGACCAAATACAACCAGATATCTCCACAGGAAATCAACAGTTCAGGCTGAGGCAGGCGGCGGATCTGCATGAGTGTCAGTGTCACACCCCTCCTGGTCACCACAGCCAGCAGGGATGCACCAGACGGGAAATCTGGAAGTCTGAGCCGGGGAAGGAAAAAAAAAAAAAGCGCATCGCACACTCTGACAGAAGCAGCCTTCAGAGACGCGCACATCCTTACCTCCGCAGTCTCCATCTGGCAGCCTTCAGCATGCTTCCCTTCACGCCCATCTCCCTCCGCAACAGCAGCTGGCAGCGGAACGGATGTGTCGGGACGCCGCTCGCCGGGATACAACTCCGTCCGGCGGGCAGGAGGAGCGGAGAAGGAGGAGGAGGCGGAGGTGATACGCCACTGAGGCGGAACCCGAACCGTGAATTCTGGGAGTATGAGTCCTGAGTCAGATGTCACCTGCTGATGCCGGTTTTTTCTGCCAACTCACGAATCCGTTTGCGTGCAGTTGCGGCGCTGCGCCTCCGGGCTGCGACATTGCACCGAGGATGTGTTCAGCGGCTCCAGGGTGCGCAATTAGCAGTAAAAGCAGACAAAGGTGGGTCTTGTCTGCTGGTGCGATGCAGTTTATTGTGCAGGTTCGCTGCGACTTAGAATTCCTGATTACAGAACAGAAACACGGTGACTTTTACTTTCTGTTGCCATCAGTGCAAGTCAGAGGAGGAAAGTGAGCTTCTTCTGCAGAATTAAAGCATGAAAACTACATGCACTTAACTCAAAAACAAACGTTTATCACAAATTAAGCATCACATGGGATCGATTCAGACTCAAAGTGACAAAAAATGTTCTTATGCAGCCCATGTGTAGAATGATCATAACTCTGAGGCCACTTGCTTTTCTATCAGTCTTTACATTTACCAGCTGAGCTGATTGCAAAGCTTCCTTTTTCTAACAAAGTGTTGCTTAAGATTACAGTAAGATGACCACATTGTCAGGAAGCAGCATAAAACACTGTTTTTTCTCCTCTGTGACATTTGCATACTCTGTTGAAGTCCTTCACTGATCTCCTTTCTAATGCAAATCCAAAATGCATTTTTTAGGTGTTTTGGGACTTGGCATGCGAGGTCTGCAGGAGGCCTGCTCTGTGCATCTTTCCCTGCTTTTGAATGCCGTATCGGCCACTCTCCCTGCCAGCCAGTCAGCTTCCTGCAGCAAAGAAGCCACCTCTGCTGACTTTGGGGGGGCACATTAATGGTTGCCTCTTCCTCTTGGTGTGATAAAACAAGGATTCCTTTGAGCCCACCCTGTCCAGCTGCACGGCCACATTCACAAGCACAAACACTAACCTCCCTGTGTAATCACTCGCCACCCTGAGAAATGACAGCGGGAGTTTGAGGAGGGGGGGTAAAAGAAGAAGAAAAGGAAGAAATCAGGATGATAGACGTGGTCTGGAGGACCCTGGAGCAACAAACCCAGAGAGGAGACACGTGTCAGGATTCAACAATGTTATCAGACACTTGATGATTTATTTCCAGATTCTTTTGCCAAGATCAGACCAAAAAAATAAAAAAAAAAGTGACATTAAGGTGTGGCCTGCTCTGTTGACAGATGTCGCCTCCTGGAGTGCGCTGATGTTGCTCATATGATTGCTCATCACTATCTCCCTCGAACTCTCCTCCTCCTCCTTCCTCTGTTGGTACTGCATTTGTGTTCGCTATTCTCTCTCTCTTCCTCCTCTCCCCTCCCCCTTGCACACACACACACACACATGCACACACACACACACACACACATATACACACAGAAACTGATGTGAGTTCCCCTATCAGAGCCAGTTCCTCCATTTAAGATGCTGACTTGTTTATGTTGAAGGGCACAAGTGAATGACTTTTACTGGCTCCTACACTCCACTTCGAGGGCTCGTTTGAGACTTTTTTTTTTTTTTTTTTTGGTCTTTTGCTTTGTTGCAGGAAATGGGTGCATGAAGTCTGTACAGTTTGCTGATTTGTGGTTGTTAGAAAGAGAGGAGATCAAGTGACAGCACATCTGATAAGGCGTGGAGTTTTAGTGGATGACTGGCAGGTGAGCAGCCCTCACCCCCCAGCAGCTCTCCGTCCTGGGCGCATAAACAAGACAAGAAGGACACAGAGCAGGAGGAGGAGGAGGAGGAGCGGGGTCAACCATGGAGCTGTAGGGACACGCTCAGATGCCCGAGCAGATCGCCAGTGGAGGAGGAGTGTTGCTGAGGAGAACAACTCTGCCATGAACAAGACCAAAAGGTAACTTATAAAAAGCAGAGAGTGCACTGAAACTGAGAGACCCACTTGCAGCTTCAGTGTAAGTCTAAGTATGTGTCAGCAGCGAGCGCTTTGTGTGCAGCAGTGATGTGTGAACCTTGAGGTTATATGTGAGATGCAGTGTGGTTTGTGCAAAAGGCTCCCCGACTAGTCGAAGAGAAACAAGGGCACTTTGGTTTTACTTTCCGCCTCTAGTATGTGTGTGAGTGCTTTACCATTTATTTCAGCTTGCAAACAGCAAGCTTTGTGTTGAAAGAAAAAAAAAAAGGCTGCAGCTCTTTGACCTGCATATCAGAGAGGAATATCAACTTCTCAAATTATTTGTGTGTACTGCACACAAGTGAGCCCTGACGTTCAACAGTGGTGCGTGTCTGCTGAGAGCTCACCTTTCCATAGAAATGTGTTCTGTTTTTCTGTTGTGTCCACTGAAGCCCCATTTACATGTCAGTTCAGTTATGGCTTTTTTTTCTTCTTTTTTTTGCATTTGATCTTAGATACTGCTGACAGACTACATATTTAGCCGCCTGTGTTGTCAGTGGTACTTTTTTTTTTACTGCTCTAGTTGTGACCGCAGGTCTTATCAGATTGCCTGGAATGAGAGGGCTGTGTGTTGAATGTTAAGGCGGTCGGAGGTGTCACTTCTTTTTTGATTTTTGCTACCTGAGTTTAAGGAGGGCCGACGGAGTGGTCACATTACTGTGCTTCCCCTTCAGTGGCAAGGTTATCTAGATTCAGCACATGAGGCCAGGTTTAGGGTTTGTAAGGTGCACAAATGATTAAAGAACTGTGACTGAAAAGGAAATAATGAATACAATTCGGCCAAAAAGCAAAGAGGATGGTGACAAACTCAATCCACATTAAACAGAATTATAATCATCAAAAGGAGGGAAATAACCTAAATCTGGATTTTTGATGTTTTAAAAGACCAAAAGAGGGAAAAAAAAGTTTGTACTTGCACAGGTGACAAATAACTTCTTCTGTGTCACAAAAACAGCCTCAGAAGTTTATGGGTAAAGCTGCAGTCGTTCTAGTTGGTACAGTGGTTGTACGTTTCACCAAATGTATGAATGGCTCATTGCAGGAGATGCATCCCCTTGATGCGAAGGGAAACAAGAACGCAGGTTGTGAGAGGGGAGAGCAAGGGAAAAAGAGCAGTACACAAACAAGGCCTTCAAAGGGCCTGGGGTTCAATTAATCAATTAAGGGAAGAAAGAGAGGAATTTGCATATCCCCCCGCCAGTGTGAGAGCAAGAGAGGGAGAAAAGGGGAGGAGGGGGGGAGCTGGATCTGCAGCCAGGAGTCCTGACACAGATGGGAAAGGCAGTGAGAGGGGGATTTCCAGGGAGAGAGAGAGAAAAAAAGGAGAAGCTGTTTCCTGAATGGCTTGAATAGAACAAGGATGAAGGAAGAGGAAAAAAGTGGGTGAAGGAGGAGTTGGTGAGGAAGAGGAGGTGTGGAAGGTCTTCCCAGAGCAGAATCAGGGATGTGATGGAGTCACAACCAAGTTCATCGATGCTGCTTGGAGTTTTTCTCTATTGTCGTACAAACAAAGATTTCTTTCACCGTCAAGTTTGTTGCCATGGAGGCACTGTTGAATATAACCAGAGAGGAATCTTTACCAGACTCCTAGGAAAACGTGAATGCAAATACCCAAACAGTAACTCCGACTGTGTGCAGATTTGCATGGGAGTCCACCACACGCTGCCTCCGAAGGCTGGAGGCAGCTCATCACACAGGAGAGAGACGTTTGACTGCCGCCCTGTGCGTTACCTGCTCAGCTCTCGGAGGGGGAAATTCCCTGACAGACGTCATGTCATCGACAACATTTCCCCATCAGCATTTCTGTTTGTAGCTGTGACCGTGTCTCCTCAAGTGTGCAACCACTTTGACAGCAGGTGGATTCACGCTGAGTTAAAAAGAGAGCTGACGAGTCGCAAAGGGCACTGAGATAAGAAAACCGCCGAACACAAGTCAGAAATGAACTCCCTGAATGTACAACACTGAAAAATCAGACGAGTTTCTTTTTTCAGTTTAGTACTCTACGTTGTCTAGATTGTAAAATACAAACTATATATATGTATTGAGATATTCATGCATGCTTTTCACTGGATACCATCAAGTATTATAAAATCAAAATGAAAATCATGCACTTGTTCCAGCTTCTCATATGAGAGTATTCTTTAACACTGAACAAACAGAACTTCTCTTTGAGCTTGGGGAACATATGACAGACATTTTCATGATTTATTGACGTGTTCACTAAAAATAAACAGACTAGTCAATAATGATAATAGTCATCATTGTCATGGGGAGGCTCTGTGGAGAGAGCCACAGGCCTAACTGATAAGGAAATAGTCTCCAGATCTGAGAAGGGTGGGTGGGATGATTATTGTCGTTATTTGAGCTGATTTATTTTAGCCTCTGTTTCGTTTTATGCAGTTATAGATCCAGACGTGGAATGTTTTTCAGCTTATGTTGTAATGTGCCAAGTATGTCCAATAATGTGGAGTACATACTGAAAGTCCTTCCTATAGAATGAAAAATAGTTGGAGCTGGCTTTGATTTCCACTAATAGTGAATTTGTCGACCAAAATTACAAATTAAACAATTGCCTCAAAAGGTTGCGCAGGAAATAAACATTCTAAGAATCTAAGAATAGAGAGATGCATGCGATCCTTCAGCTTATCTTACAGCAAGCGCATGACAAAGCATGTGATGAGATGCAGGGTCTTTATTGGACAGTGCTGTAGAAGAGTGAGACTGAGGTTCACCTTGATTGTATCTGTCTTTTCTAATTGAGAACTGCATGAGTTGCCTTCCCTTACAGTAATACAGCCCACAGCAGTGCCGTACGTGCTGCGCTGTTGAGTGTTTTGAATTCAGTAGCCAGACAGTGTAATGAGGCAAAGAGCAGGAGGAGTTTTGTTGCCCAGCAGGTTTCCAAACCAGCCACCTGGAGCTGGACTACCAGGATGAGCGAGGCTGACTCGTCACTGATGTCCCCCCACATGTTCTGTATCCAGGCATGACTGGGAGGGAACATCATGTACAGGCCGCATAAATGATCAGTAAATGTCACCCCGTATGTCTGCATGAAACTGTGCATCCATAATGTCCTCTCTTGTGTTGTGCATAAACCTAATGTTTGTCTGTGATGCATGTCTGTGCTTATATATTGTATACATGTGTGTGTGTGTGTGTGTGTGTGCGTGTCTGTGCAGAGTGCGAGTGGGCTGGGGAAATGAGCCGCACACCAACGCAGGTTAAGAGAAGGGGATGTAGGTCTGGTCATTCAGGGAACTTGTCACCAGTTCTCTGAAGTGTTCAGTGTTTCCTGGTAATGTCATCACATTAGCTGCAGTATAAAGATCAACACGGTTTCATATTATTACATAATAGTCACAGTTTGTACAGAAGCGTGAGGACGAAATCTGACACGCTCGAGCTGAACACGCAAAGTTCCAACAACTTTTGAGAGAAGACAGCTCTCAGCTTTCACTGAAGATTCATGTGGACTTATTGTTTGGCAGAAGGACTGCGGACTGACAACTGCTTTGCAGAACTAAAGCAAAGTCACCAGTTTAAATGTAACAAGTATGAAAAGAATCAGTTACTAGTTGTTGTGAAATACAGTCAGACGTTGCTCAACTGAGCGACTGATCTGAAGAGGAACCATAAATCTAATCATGAAACAAAAAACTCTCAAAGTGTAACGAGAGAGTAGCTCGGCATTGTTAGCTGGTATTCCATCTCAAAGCATCGGGGCTCATCTCTGATATGCTTGAAACATTTTTATTAAAAGATTGTATCGTCACACATTGATTATTTTTCTAAAACTGTCCGTCGACCCACTTTTAGCACATTTGTTGAAAGTTAGTTAGGCTATGTTTGAATGACAGCATCTCAGGGATTATTAAAGGTGTGTCTGAAAATGAACAATATGCATATTTTCAATATATGCATTTAAGTTCTTAGTGACATTTTGAGAACAATTTTGAAACTTGATGACTTTTGGATTAGACTATGAGCAATATTTTTCTTTCTGTGGTCCAGCTCGTCATACCTGCTCAATCAGTGAAGAAAGTCAAACAAAAACTACTTCCTTTCATTTTTGTGATGCAGTATTTCATTTTAAAAAAGTACCCGACATGCCATGTTTTGCATTATTGCGCCATGTAACTACATGTGGTTCAGAATATATCACTAGTTTACTTCTGCATTTTCAATTCTGTTGTTAACGTGAGTTCAAAGATGGGCCTTTTCATGAGGGCTTCTTTTTTTTTTAAATTCATATTTCAACTCACCCATAATCAGAGATCATTTTATCTACTTGTCCAATTCTGCAGGATCTCAATCAATGACATGATGAAGAATAACAGTTCAAAATTCAGACTAGTATCTTTAATAGTTCATGAGATATTGTCATTCAAACATAGCCTCAATTTTCAATGTGAAAGTTGGTCGATGGGGCAGTTTACTTGGAAAGTATTTGACTTATTGATCTAGGATTTCACAGATATCTTCAAAAAATATCCATATTTTATGCTGTACAATGTTCAGGCAAATCAGAGATCGGTGAGCAGAATTTGTTGATGATTTGAAATGGTGAAGAAGTGTCGCTCTTTGGTGTTTTTATATATCAGACTGCACACGACATCAGTCCAGCTTCACTCTGAGGTGTTATCAAAGGCGTGGTCTATGCATTACATCTGATCTACGGAGACAGTCAGAGTTCTCCTTGTTTAAAAAGCTGCCATTGAAAGCCAAAGGTAGTGGAATAAACACCAGCATTGTCTTACATTAAGTGTTAGATCATCAGTCAACCTTGAACGTAAAAACCAAAACATAGTACAAAGCCCTCCTATAGGTCACAGCCCTGTGAAGGATTCAGTGATCTTCTCACTTTGATTATTTTTCCAACCTGATGAGGTACATCTATCCAGTATAGGCTAAAGTGAAAGGATATGATGCAATATTTCACTGGCAGCATCTGAATGTGATGTCAGGTTGTACTTTTTTAGCCTGACCTTCACATTTCCTGACTGTGCTGTAACTCTTTTTTTTTATAGCACAAAATTACCAAATAAACACGTGTCATTATAGCTAGATGCTGTAAAAGTAGTAACATCATGATCTTCTTTACACTTCCTGTGACATTAAAATGAGTTTCAGACAACACAGGTTTGGGCTCCATGTTTTAAAGAGGAAAGAATGTTGTGAATAAACCCCAATTAAAACAGTTTGAATTAAAAGTTTCTAAAATCTCAAAAAAAGCAAAAAATACAAAAACCTGTGGGTAAACCTGTGACACAGCTGGATGAAGTATCAGTTTGGAAAGAAACACCACACAAATCCAATTCTTTAACCCAGAAAATGAGAAATGTCTGCTCGACAGCTTCAAGTCAAGATTCACACAAAGCTGTGTTGTTGTTTGCAGATATTCAGCCTGTGCACTATGGTTCAGACAGCTGCAGAGCTGTAGCACACCTTATCAGATGTAGGGAGCTGCGTTTCCTCAGATGCTGACCTGCACTATCTCACCACACTTTGCTCTACTTATTTCTAGGCTACTTATGCTCCCCGTCTCTCTCTCTCTCTCTCTTTCTCTTTCTGTCTGTCTCTGTCACTGTCTTTTTTTCTCAGGAAGCCCAACGTGGAGAGTCCTGGTGTGCTGAAGAGCAGGAAGCTGGTCCAGCGGAGGAGGAATACATGTCCCAGTCCTCAGGACATCAGCCGGGCCCTGCAGAGCCCCAGCTCTGCTCCCAGTGCCAGCGCTGCCAGCCTGGATGAGCTCATACAGCGCTGCCTCAACTGCTTCGGTCAGTCTCTGTCCCTACGTATCCGCATGAGTTCCCAAACTTCGTCATGTGTCTTTACTCTTTATCACAACAAGGTTATATAAATGAGGGATGAGGGAAAGCGAAGGGGGGGGATCCAGGGTGAGAGACACTGACAGGGAGGGAGGGAGACAAAGGGCAGTCTCATACAATCAAGCTTTGTTCTGTTTGGCTGCAGAAGCCGGCCAGCGATTCCCATGCAATGTTAAACTGAGCAAATCTCTCTCCTCTCGGCCTCTCTTCACTGGTCTCTTCATTAGTCACCTCATCCAAATCTCAACAACATGTCAGTTCGAGTTCTAGCACGCATGCAGCTCGTTTGTGTTTATTTTGGGAAGGTTTTCATTTGTTGGCGCTCAAAGACTGAAAAGTGGCATGAGAAAAACTCTGCAACACACACTGCTGAGTCTAAAAATACTGACCTGGTTACGGGCATAATTAAACTGAATTTCCTGGTAAAAGGTAAAGAAACTGTCAGTGAGTGACGACAAGAACAACATTTGCTGCTGAACCGGTTGAACTTGTGAACCCTCACAGGTGAATAAACCCAAAAATATTGCCCACGTTAAGTTTTAATTTTATTTTTGGTGGATGAGAGGGTCATTTGGTTGTAGTGAAACCTTAAATTATGATATATGCGTCTGTAAATTAACACTGTTAAGCATGTATATCAGAACTTCACATACAGTCTGAATATTAAAGCAACTTGGATGATTTAAGTAGAATTTACAGGAGCAAAAAGACATTAAGTCACTGATTTCTTTTGCACATTTAGCACCACATACACCAAGACAAAGTGCTTTTCCATGAAGAAATAAGACTTCTGTTACTCACTTACACAAAAAGTTTAAATATTAAGCTTAAAACCCTACAATATTATGAATTATATGAACGTTAAGTTTAAGGAATTAAGTCCCTGTGACAGTTTATGTTGTATAAATTTAACTAATTTAAATATAAGTGAGGTAAATTTCTATTCAGTGGGTTACATTTGGAGGAACTGCAGCAGACAGTTGCATAGACAATAATATTCTTTTCTCTATGTGGGTGTGCAGACTGACTGGAAACGCTCCAGTGCGGCGTGGTTTGATTTGGTCCCACACACACTTGGATAGCAGTTTATAAAAATGTACATTATACATCAAGTAAATGCTCATTTTTTAAGACATGTTTCCTTCAGTTCCTCTTGAAGTCACAGTTGGCAGGTCATCATTTTATCACAATCACATTCGAAGGAAGTTTAAAATCTCAGATCTACCTGAGCTGCACGTTTCCATGAACTGAACTCAACCGCTGAACCGCCGAGAGCAGTGTTGCTGTTTTTAATCACATTCATCTTCCCTGCACCGCTGTGTTTCGCTCGCAGATTCGGAGGGGAAGCTTTCGAGCCCGAGAGGGTCCCAGTTGGTCCACATGACCCTGATGATGCACAGCTGGGTCGTGCCATCCCAGACGTTCGTCCAGAAACTTCTCACCCAATATCCTCCACTCCCGGTACCGCCGGTGCACTTTCTCCCAATCACATGTTCAAGTCAATTAATCAGATCAGGAAACAGGCTTGGCTTTGTTTTGCGCTCCATGTCTACAAAGCATATTTCCAAGTGTATAGCCCTGCTGGTGTTTAGTGTAACGTGGTGCCGTATTTGCACAGTGTGTCCTTGACTCTGTCTCTCACTTATAAGGACTGTCCCTTGGATAAAAGGGGACTCAGACGGACTCAGATCTGCCACCTTGTCAGGTGAGTAAGGACACCAGGAGAGCGCTGTGTGACGGACAACCTGACAGAACTGGTTATCCTGCTCTATTTGCGAGTAATAAACATGTTTTCTGTTGGTGGCAAGGCAGTGGATCAGCCAGTTCCCGGCGGTATTTGAGGTGGACCCCCTCCTGGAGCAGACCATGGGGGACCTGTGGGCGCTGGTCCGGTTGGATGGAGAGGAGACGCACTCGCAGCTCATCGACTCCTCCTGCTTGTTAGTCTCGTTTTACTTAAACACAAAACTTGTAGTTTGCCTACGTGGCCACAACTCAAACCAGTTTTTCCTTAAATAGAACGACTGCCTATTTCTGTCCCGCTGCTTTCTTTTCCCAGAAGCCCTCATGTGAACGTGTCCCAGGCGCCGTCGCCGTCCGTCAAGAAGAGGAAGGTGTCCTTGATCTTCGACCACATGGAGCCGGACGAGATGGCCGAGCATCTCAGCTACCTGGAGTTCAAGAACTTCTGTAACGTTTCGGTAGGTTTAGAGAAGGACTCCTCTCTACTGTCTGTGCTCAGTTTGCTTAATGAGGCGTCGCCGTGTTGCTCTGACAGAGATGCTGCTGCTCCAGACACAAACCCTCATGATCGGCCAACGTGTACACCACAAATATTTAATGTTCTCATTCTTGTTATGTGGCTGTAATGATAAGTTAGTTCAAAGTACCAAAGTGCTTCAAATAATCTGACAAATAAAGTCAATTAAAAAGCATAAAACAATAAAATTGTTACAAAAAATGTGATTAAACTCATTGTATGATGAGCTACAAGTGTCTGACTTAGTGCTGTAAACCCACACGGAGATTGAAAGTGAAAACACGTCTTTAATGTGGATTTAAATGCTGAGAAGCTGACGACCTGATGTGACCTGACACCTGACATCCAGCAGCAGAACTGACTCTGTGTTTAGCTTCATACGTTACTCAGATTTAATTGTGAGTGTGAACGCTTGAAATGAAAGAAGAAGAAGAGAGCATCCGGTGATGTTTTGTGAGTAAGTGGTAGCAGATCTACTGAGGACCCAGGTGTGATTTTGAATACAGTTTTCTATCTGTGACATCTGCTCGGCCAGTTCCTGGACTACCGCAGCTACGTGGTGCGAGGTTCGGTGAGGGACAATCCCGCTCTGGAGCGCTCGGTCATGATGTGTAACGGCGTCTCCCAGTGGGTCCAGCTGATGATCCTCAGCAGACACACGGCCCAGCAGAGAGCCCAGGTCTTCACCAAGTTCATTCACGTGGCTCAGGTAGACCAAATATCACAAAAAAAAAAAAAACTGGCTAAGATTAGCGCTTGTTTGTTTGGGTTTTCCACTGACTTTATTCTCTCTTATCTCTCGTCCTTCTCTCTGCAGAAGCTTCGCGCTCTGCAAAACTTTAACACTCTAATGGCAGTAACTGGAGGCCTCTGTCACAGCTCAATCTCCCGCCTCAAAGACACTTCGAACCTGCTGCCTCCTGACATCACTAAGGTATTTCAAAGATTACACATAACCATGAGTCAATGTGGATGACTACCTCACCACAAGGCTGTGACCAATAAACTTTTCCCTCTTGAATCATTGTCCTTTCTGAGCTATTTCTGGCATCTGTTATATTTTATTTCTTCTTTCCGTTAACCAAAAAGGTTATGTTTTGTGACCTCAGTAGTTTTTTTTTATTGTATAGACATTCAAAAACTGGCTTTCATTTTTAGCTGTGAAACTGGCAGAAACCAGAAATCAGTTGAACTTGGAGTAGTGATGGTTTTTTTGGGTGGGACATCAACTGTGTGGTAAATGTGACATTTTTACAGACTTTCAGAGACAACACCTTTAACTCCCCTTTTGAGGTTTTTTTATTTTTCATGTCCTGATGTGAATTTTCAGTTTTTAGTATCATAACAAGTTGTGTCTCAGTGCTGGGTCACCGGCCGTTGACAAAACAAAAGTAAAGAAGTAAAGTTGAAACGCTAGTAGAGATCCCAAAGTTTCCAAAGTTACGAAATATGTTCGACTGAACGTCACCAAATTTTGGGCCTAAATCCAGAAGTGTGTGCATTCCTGTTCAAAAAGCTATTTCTATTATCGAAGGAGAAAAATGCGTACACCATTAAAAAGCCTGTGTTTTACCCTCTATTGGTGTAATCATGATATAGATATCATAAAGAGCTGGAACAAGCTTGCAGTGTCTGTTTCAAATGAGGAAATTTAATTAATTAGATGCTAATGAAAGGAAAACCAAAGGGGAAAGGTGCATGTTAAGAGGTTAATTGTGCTTTTAAATTGCACTTATAGCAAGAAAAAGATCACGATTCACACCTCAGAGGAAATAATTGAACATGCAAGCCATAGAAGCTAATTTGAAGATCACTAGCTATGATGACTTTTGTGTAAAAGTTGAACTCTTCTAATTGTTTACAGTCTTCAAATTAAATTCTTTCTTTTGCCTTTTCTTGCACAAATGCCCTTAGTTAACGACCTTCTCCCTCTTTCAGGCCCTGAGTGAAATGACTGAGCTGCTCTCTTCGCGCAGCAACTACAGCAACTACCGGCGGGTTTACAACGAGTGCAGCGGCTTCAAGGTGCCCATCCTGGGCGTCCACCTGAAGGACCTGATCTCGCTGAACGAGGCGCTGCCGGACTACATCGACGAGGAGAAGATCAACCTGAGCAAGCTGCAGCACCTGTACAGCAACATCAACGACCTGCTGGCCATCCACAGCTGCACGCCGCCGTTCGAGGCCAACAAGGACCTCCTGCATCTGCTCACGGTACGAGACAGAAACAAGAATGCAGAATTCAGATGAAAAGATTCCCCCAAAGAACATCTTAAATTATGTTCTTTTAATGCTTCAGCTCTCTCTAGATTTATACTACACCGAGGATGAGATATATGAACTTTCATACACCAAGGAACCCAAAAACCCCAAGATCCAGGTCAGTAGAGCTGAACTGAGCTCTATCTAGCAGCATCAGCTCACACCTTTGTTAATCTCTTATCATGAGAGGATGGACATTTGTCTGCTCTCTGTGGGTGTAACGTGTTCTTCAAAACAAAAGCACAGCCTCTGACGCTGAGATACATCAAAGTCGGCCACATCAAAGTGCTGTACGTTAGGGAAGTGTGTTATGTGGTGGGTGTGCTCTTTCTTCTTGTTCCTCACAGTCCTTCGTGTCTCATCACTGCATGTGTCGGTCCACAGCCTGTAGCTGCAGTTAAACCGCCGGTCGTGGCAGAGTGGGGTTCAGGGGTCACCCCCAGGCTCGACCCCGACACCATATCTAATCACGTCAAACACATGGTGGATGTGAGTATGTGACTCTGCAACAACCTCATGTCTTTCACTTCCTTATTACTTGGCAGCTCAAAGCAGAAGCAAGGAACTGCTGCTCGACAAGCGCGGCTGAGTATCTGTTTGCTCTGTTGCCCCCTGCAGTCCGTCATGAAAAACTACGACCAGAACCAGGACGGCTACATCTCGCTGGAGGACTTTGAAAAAATAGCGGCCAACTTCCCCTTCTCCTTCTGCACTCAAGAAACTGACAGGTGAGGAAGCGGCAACAAAAAGGCCTCCCACCCAGAGAGACATACGAATCTGGCAAACGTCGTCATCGTTCAAACCAAAGCTTTAACTTCCTTTTGTTTGCGTTGCACTTTGGAAAACTTTTTTCTGCCCAGGGTGGGACAGATCAGCCGTGAGGAAATCACCTCTTACTTCATGAGGGGAATGTCAGTATGTGCCAAACTGGGCTACAACTTCAAAGACGCGCATAACTTCCACGAAACCACATTCAAGCGGCCAACGTTCTGCGAGACATGTGGGGGATTTGTGAGTATCCGTTGTGCAGGCTTTTGGTTTTATGTAAACGATGAATCAGAGCATAACACAACATATTATGTGTGTCTTTTTTTTTTTTAGCTGTTTGGAGTCATCAAGCGAGGCTTCCACTGCAAAGGTGAGCTCATTAGATAACAAAAATAATAACTGTATTCATGGAACACTTTTTAAAAACAGGAGTTTACAAAGTGCTTTACAGACAGGACAATAAAAAAAGGATACTCAGGAAGACTATTTAACAATAAAAAGCCAGTTAGTCCAAAAAGGAGAAACACCAGAAATTCAAAAGTGAAGAAAGAGATTTAAACATGGTACAAGATTTTAAAAATTAAATTGGTACGACGATGCCAAATCCTAACACGGGAAAAGAACAACTGGAGTAAAATAAAATAAAAGGTAAAGCCATAAACACAAGGCTGAAAGTAATAATAATAGTAGTAACGGTAAATGAATCAAATACATAAGTACGTAAATAAATAAAGAGTAAAAGAGAATAAAGTGAACAAATAACATAAATATAATTTTAAAAAAACAATTAGACAAAAAAAAGGCGACATCACATAAAAGCAGTGATTTAAAAGAAGACACTGATCACAATCTACATCGCTTAAATCATTCATCAGGAGTTTGATCAGAGCAAGAGTTAGTCTAATACAAGGTCAAATAAGATCGAGCATCATGTAGCTTCTTGAGTTGTGGTTTTGAGATTTTAGCTATAATTTAGTTAGTGATGCTCAAACTACAGCAAAATTACTTGTGAAAACTCAAAAGCAGGAAACAATATCTGGGTCACTCAGACTTTTTTTTTTTTTTTTCGTGAACTGTGCCTTTAAACATTTCTGTTAAAGTGTCACTGTTTTCTCCTTTCTCCCAGACTGTGGGATTAACTGCCACAGACACTGCAGAGATCTGGTGGGAATGGAGTGCTTGAAGAAACACAAAAACACAACCGGGTCCTGCCCGTGCACGCCCGCCCCCGAATCAAGAACCAAGGGTAACAGCTGGAGTGTGTCTTTTCTCCGTTACATGCAGTCCACAAAACACACATATAATGCCTCCACCACCCTTTGGAAGTTTCCCCCTTTAATTACTTTTTAACACTGAATCATGCTAAAATTTAATTTGGCATTTTTGACGAGAATTTACAATAAAATATTCGGCCATGTTGAAGTGAAAACAGATTTCTACAAAGCAATGTCCATTTATTACAAATCTAAAATGAATATGCAGACACCTCCTTTTATGGATTCATCTAATTTAACACAGGTGCAGCAGGGGATGGAAATAAATCATCTGAGTGCCGTGAATGTGTCTCAAGTGATTGTGGTGTGAAGACACGTGCATCTGGAAGGTCCAGTCACCGGTGAATCAGTATATAATAATAATTACACACAAAGAACACGTGAAGCAGCTCCGTGACAAGGTGATTTAAAGACACCTGAGTCTTTAGAGGAGTCATAGCTGTCTTGGTGGCCTCCCGCAATAGTCTCTTTATTGTCTTCTCTTAGGGACGTGTTGAACTGTACTGAGAGATATTCAGTCAATTGGAAGTTTTATTCACGTATCCCCTGATTTGACTTGCTCGGAGTGTTCTTTTGTCTTCGTGCTGTTGTTATATTCAGGAGTACTGATTCACCAGTGACTGGACCTTCTAGATACGAGTGTCTTTATATGACAATCACCGAGACACACATTCTCTGCACTCAGGTGTTCACACCTTGTTGAATTACATGAGGCACTTTGAAAGGCGCCAATACTTCCACAATAACTTCTTTTAAATTGTATGTTTAATTCATTGAGATTACTTTGTAGGAATCTGTTTCCACTTTGACATGAAAGAGACTTTTTTTTTTAAAAGCCTAATTAAATTGAAGATGTGATGACAACGAACTCTGACGCCCTATTCTCCACCGGCAGGCTCTGAGGAGGAGACGTTTGTTTTCCCCCAAAGTAACGAGGCCGAACACAACAAGAACAACACGAGCGACTCGATGCTGTCGGACCGGTCCACTCAGACGGATCCTGGAGTGTGGACACCTGAGAAGAAGGACAAACGGGGAAACCACCTCAACTCCCTCGTATACGCGTCTCCAGAGAGAAGGGTGAGGCAGGAAATCCCTTAAAAAAGACACAGCGTCTTGACCTTTTATCAGATTTTTGTCACAAATGCTACTCAGGGCACATGAACTAACATCAGCATGTTGCTCCAACACAGTAAAGTAGTGATTCATTGAGGTAAAACCTTCCAGTCGCAGCTACAAAAGCTAATACATGAGGAATCAACCACCAACAATTGCAACTTAGAATGTAAATGTGCTACTTTGAATGACTCTTCAACCTTTTTATTGTCCTGTAAATGTCCAACTCAAACTAAACCAAGAAAATGATCCTTTGTGTCCAGTTTGTCCCTTCAAAAAATGTAAAAAGCAGCCTCCATCCTGATCACTGAAGGTCTCATGCTCACAGTTTTAGTTTATTTGCTGTGTGAGGACAAAGGAGGTCGATGGAATTTAGTTTCTGCTCATCTAAGAGTTAAACAATTGCATCTTTATTTACAAAGCTGCCCTTTAATTTGTGCCTCACTGTCACTAATTTTGAAGAACCATTCTGCAGTTTTTTAAAAAACTGTTTAGGAGCTGTTTTCTTGATAATAAATTTGTACTTTTTTCTTGTTTTCCAGGTCAACACTCTGCCACATAGAGCCCGGGGTTCCTCCATGCCCGTTTCCTTCTTGCAGGAGAAGATGGAGGAGCTTCATCTGTACAAAGACAAAAGCCGAGAGCCAGACTGAGCTCTCGCATTTCCCCTCCCACACACATGGACTAAACACGCAGACGCCACCACGTTTGTGATGAAGCCGACCGACTGGTGTTGAACTGATGAGATTTTCTTGAAAACGCCAGCAGTTATAAACGGACTCCTTTTTGGTGTTTCAAATATGGTTGTGACCTGTTTTTTGATTTTATCTGTCAGTCTTATTTGTTCGGCTGTTAGACTTCAAGCATCCATTTTTTTCTTTTCTTTTTTCCCGACTGTAATTTATGAACACCTCGTCTTGTTCTTAGAACGCGTGCCTTGGTTCTCTGGTGCTAAGATTCTACACAGCCTCGGTCCATGCAAAGTGGTTCGTAACAGCCCATCACATTATAAACGCAGGGCAGGAAATTAACACTAACCTCAACGAAATTCTGGTTGATTTTAAGTTCGGCAGCTATGTGAGAACTCTGATCTGGAAAGACAGAAAAAAGGTTAAATTAGTACTGGATTGGCTCTGGATTGGATGATATATGATAAAATATATATACATGCATATCTCTGCGACTAACAGCAGATACTGCAGCGCTATTAAGCCCCTTTCAGACATGCAGAGTTGAAATTTTACAAGATTGGACTTGTACAACTTCACACATGCACAGAATCTTTTTAGGAATTCATAAGTAGTTATTTGTAGTTTATTAGTCCATTAATGTCCACGGTGGCTCCGTCCATCACTGCCATGGGTATGTCTGAATGAAGCCGCGATTAACAGAAAAATGTCCATGTCTAAATGATAGAAACAGATGAATGAGGCCAGCAACATTGCATATTCCACGTCTGAAAAGGGCTTGACTGAGCTGTCTGTTCCTTTTGTTTCTCTGGTTACAAAAGACCAGACGATGGTAGAATTTGTGCACACCACTGAGGCCCTGTCGTAAAGGCAATATTGGACTTTCACATGTGGATGCAGTTAGTTCCTCCTGAAATTGCTACAACAATGCAAAATTAAGACAACATGCAGGGAGGTGACAAATGAAAGGAAAAACCTGAACCCTTGAGTCCTGCAGTGAAGGGATCTGGTGGTTCTGATAGGTTGTTGGACTGTTTGGTGCTATGGTTTGGGTTTATTTGTTATCGTAGCAGGAAGAATCGCTTACAAATCGATGACTTTGGGATGGGGGGTGGTTTCTTCTAGGGTGACGATGCCCAAAAATGATTTAAATCTCAACCCATCTGAGCACCAATGTGGCCTCTACAGCCATGATCAGAACACCAGCTGAGCGAAAATCTTTTGCAAAAATGGTCTTCCATCCCTCCAGAAGAGTACCAAGGCATAATGAAGCTGTCCTGGCAGCCCAACACCTTGTCAAGACACCTTGTGGAGGTTTTTCTCCTTTCATTTGTCATCTATTTGTATATCAATATTGCCCTAATTTGCTTTTGGAGTAACAAAATGAGCTCGATCAATCGGACAAATGTTATTTTCCTGCCCTGACAACATGCTTGACTTTCAAATTTGTCCAACAGGTTATTCAAGGTTCAGCAGGACTGCACTGGAACAGTACTTACGGTCCAAAATTAGCATTTTATGTTGAGCTAAATGCTTTTTTTTTTCCTTGTCTCGTTTGTCCATGATTTCAGTTTTGTTGAAGAACAAGAAAAATACACCAACAACGATACGTCACTGTGTTGTGTTTGGATCACTCACTGCTACAACAAATTATCACGAAAACATTTACAGGCGTATACAACTGCGTTTATTGTATAAAGACAAGAAGACAGCTTGCGTAACTGGTCAAAATCAGATTTTCATTTTCAGGTAGAAAAAAATGGGTTTGACAGAAGGCTTTAACTACTGGACTCAATGAACAGCAATCACAAAGGGATGGGAGAAAAAAAAACAAACGGCACATACAACTACTCAACAAGAGTGGCAAAATATTATTCTCAATCAAAGACTGGATCAAATACTACAGTATCAACACCTATAAAAAAATGTTCCATAATGTTTGGATTCATTTGCAGTAACTAAAATGTGCTCACTCGGGGAACTGAAAAGTAAAACGGCAAGACAGAGGAAAAGGGGGCATGAAGGTAAAAAGCATGCATTTTTGTTCTTAAGCTTCTCAAAGCAAGCAAAAATTATTCAGGCTTTGCTGTACTTTTCCTGTCATTTTTTTTTTTTCTTCACACTACGCGTCCTAGAAATATACAATTACCTCTTCAATCTGTAGGAAATGTGGAGTGCAGACATCCACATTCGATGCATAATCGATAACATTCATTAAATGTCTTGATACCTATCATCTACCACCTCACGGTCACTGCTTAGAGTAAGACTTAATTCAGTAAAAATAATGAAAAGACATCAATTTGTATACAATTTATGTGTACATTGGTGAGGAATGAAGGCTACTGTGTTAAACCAGACAGAGAATGTTATGTGATGTTGGTGACTTAATGTGGGACTGTACAAAATTAATTTGCTGCAGAGGTCAGAGGTGTTCAGGACAAAGGTGGATGCAGGTAGAGATGCAGGGCGAAGCTACTGGGAACCAGAAGACGAGCCTTGGCTGCCCTGTCCAGGGTAGCTGCCGTACTGGCTGTAATACTGGTTCCACTGGTTCTGGTTCTGGTAGTACTGCTGCCACTGCTGAGCGTACTGGAGGGGAAAAACAGAAACAGAAACGAGTGCAGCAGTTCGAGAATGCTTACGTTTGGCTTGGCTTTTCTATTTTTGCATTCCATGTCTATGTTGTGAGTTTTAGGACTGAACACTTAATGAATGCAGGCTGCTGCTGCTGCATCAGGAGGCTTCCTCTACAATCAGTGAAACAGGCTGCACCGGCTGTGTGAGCAGCATGTCAGCAGCGTGTTTCCACTCTGAAAATGTGAATGTAGACCGGCCTGTTATTTATAGTGTCAGGCCTGGTGTGTGCAGTCCTTCGGGTCATAAAGTGTCCATATATTTTTTTACAATTAAATTAACGGTATTGAGGAAATTAGTTCTTTGTATCAAACATGGCTCCCACTTTGGAGCCTTAATCACCCTGTCAACATGTATTTGCAAGTACAAACTGATGGTTGGTCAGTAACGTGATCCGTAACGGAGTCTGCTGAAGCCTATAGATGTTAATTTGCCCATCCTACACAAAGTCTTTACAATACTTCAGTGCTTTGCTCTGACAACAATCGCAAATCCTAAAGGCAGCCATGAGATTAAACATACAGGATGCAAACTGGAGAGCTGCGTGGGTTTTTAAAAACATACTTGGATTTACTTTATCCTGCAGTAAAGACTTATGTTACCCATGTAAGACTGGGTCACCATAGCAATCTATTACTTCTACAATGAATTCAAGCCTGGCCAATTCCCCACTCTCACTGCCCTGTAGAACGTCCAGCATCTGCAAGTATGAAGTAAATTTTGGACTAAAGTCAAGGGAAGCCACCCGGGGATTCTCACTGATTTCCTGCTAAAGTGTGTGTCAACGGCAGGAGAGATGCAGATATTTCATTGCAGTTCACCCACCTGCTGATATTGCTGGTTGTAGCTCTGTTGTTGTTGTTGCTGCTGCTGCTGCTGCTGCTGCTGTTGCGGCTGTTGCTGTGGCTGTTGCTGGTGGTGGTTGTACGTCTGTCCAGTGGCAGGCGTCTGGCTGTAGCTCTGGCTGTATCCTGGGTACTGACTGTAGTTGCTGTAGTAGTTCTGGTTGTAGTTGCCCTGGTTGTACCCTTGACTGTAGCTCTGGTTGTAGCCCTGGTGGCAACGGATAGCATTAATTTACTATCATGTTTTTAACCAGATTTTTTTTTTCCAAATATTTTTTTCCATGAGGGTCATGTTAAGTACCTGGTTGTATCCTCCCTTGTTGTAAGGGGCTGGACGATTGTAGCTTCCCCCTGATTGCTGGCTGCGGTTGTATCCACCGCGTGTATCAGAGCCTCCGTCACGGTAGCTGTTGCCCCACCGGTTCTGGTTATAGCTGCCACGATTGTAACCTGCAAAATGAACCAAAATTATGTTACAACAGTACCAAACACTGAGGTGCTAGCTGAGGTTTAAGCATATGTATAAGAGCCAAGCATGTGATTTGTTATTGAACAAACATCTGAATTTTTGAAAGACTCTTATGACCTGAATGTACCAAATATACTCGTCCGAGTGTCTCACCTCCTCTGTATCCACTGCCTCCATCTCCACTGCGGTTCTGGTAGCCACCGCGGGATCCATCGCGGTTGTCGTACCGCTGGAAGCTACCGCCGCCGCGGCCGCGGAACCCACCCTGCCTGTTGTCGAAGCGTTTCTCAGGAGGTGGGCCAGCCTTGCGGCCTTCCTCATTGTACTGCTTCAACAGCTTTTCAGCCTCGTCGCGCTGCAGCTCAGCAAACGTCACCCCCTCCAGGAAGTCGCAAGCCTCGGGGAGAGTAAAGTTGGCTTGGAGAGTGACAGAGGTGACCACAGGAGGAGGAGGAGAGAGAGACAGCCCATCCAGCAAGAGTCGGATGGAGAGGCAGAGAAAGAGAGAAAGAAGAGGGGTGGGGGGTTGTAGTGAAGACCAGAGTAGCCACACCACCGGAAGACAAAATGAACAATAATTACTATTATACAGGGGCGGCGTTAATCAGAGAAACTAAGAGCAGATAATGAAAGCAGATGGCAGGGTAAAGGGAACAAACATTACCTCCAGGGGAACTTGGAGGAAACATTTGTTTAAGCAGACACAGGAGAGGGAGGAGACTTCAGTAGAGGTGGGGAGGGGGGACAAAAAGGACAACTAAAAGGTTGGTGAGAAGAGGAAACAGCACTGCAAACCAAGGACAGCTGATGTAATGGCGTTACGAATTAACTTCCAACAACTTGGGCACGTGACTGCGTGTAAAGTTTGCCATTTGGAAACATCCTTTTCATGGAAGCCAGTTGTGCAAAGGTTAGCTCTACGATTACACGACCCGAAAAAGGCCAAAGTCTCAGTTTGCAGTGCGTCAGAAGTAAGCTGAATGGCAAAGTGGCAGATAGAGGGCAAAAATAAGAATCAAATTCATGTGGACTGTTTAAAAAAATGTCCAGGTCTGATATCTGGCCAAAGGCTATGATGGGGGAAGGGGGGGAGGGGGCATCTTCCAAGTTTGATTTTAGAGACAACACATAGAAAAAGTAAAAAGTAGATCTGGTGTTTTATTTGTTGTTTTCCACAGCATTCCTACCTTTCATTTCTAAAACAGCATGATCGGGCACATCCTTCCCCTGCTCATTGGTTTGCTTTAATGTTCGTTCTTTTAAATCCTCGTCCGTGGGACAAATTACAATAGCCTTGCGTTGAAAACCTTCAAAAGGACGCATTTTTCGTCTCCTTGCTGATCCATATACATTTGTCTAGCAATGGTGACAAGAAAGAAGTAGAAGCTTGTTTGTTATTGTTTACTTGTAATGGCTTTCCACTGGAAGGAAGCTGGAACCCTGCAATAATGAAGTGAGAGAGGTTTGGCTTGGATGTCAGTCTACGTTTTTACTCAGGTACTAGTGGCCTCTCGTCACTCCACAGACTCACCTCACAGCCTGCGCATTCAGGTACCCAGTGACTGCTGGTGGATGTTAGTTACGAACAGAGGGACCCCCACGACTATTTAAACTGACTATTTGCTCAATTACCTCACAGCACTAAGACGGACACGTTTAGGATCAATCAGGAATTAAAAATGATTTTCGAGCAGTTATTCTTATTCCATGATGTCGACATGCAGTGAGTGTGTAATCTGGGAACATATCTTAAGACGTGTTATTTCTGGATTCTGTTGAGAGCAACGTGACGATGTAGGATGAGCTAAATCAAGACTATCTATGCCCCAAATGCAATGACATAAAGTGTGATGACACCGCACAGGTACCATGTAGCATATATCAGTGTTGATTCAACTTATTACCTCTGGTTTCTTGTATTTTTTAAATAATAATTAAGTGATGGAAACTACCACAAAGTATGAACTGCCATCAGTAAGGAGATACTGAATAATTCCTCACTTTTAAATATTCTATGTGTTGTCCAGCATTTGTCATTTCAGGACATGACTAGGAATATCAAAAATGCTGCATTCCCAACGCAATCTACGCATGCAATAATGCGCGATCACATTTTGCTGTATCACTTGTGTCATTTGCTAAACTTAGCCACATCACAAAGCACTCCTTTTTCCAGCATACTGTCAGAACTATTCACGATGCCTGACGCAAAGTAGGTCAATGTTTCAGGAAGTGTAATCAAAACGTTGCTTAATAACAAACCCTTAATTAGG